GTAAAAGTGAAATGATTCCCGTCGCGCAATTGCACTTCCTGAAGAAACAGAAATTCAAAAGAACTCGGATCATGTTGCATTGTGTCGGGGTACTGTCGGGGTTCTGTGTGACGTTGTGTGTACACACGGAAAAATAATACGTATTAGGTCGGGATTCCTTTTGGAGTCTGTCAGGATTTGGCCCCGTGTGATAAGGTCCCTAGTAGAGCACAAGTTGAACATGAGTCAACAGTGTGATGCCGCAGCTAAAAAGGCCAATGCAATTTTAGGCTGCATCAATAGAAGTACAGTGTCTAGATCAAGGGAAGTCATAGTGCCGCTGTATTCTGCTTTGGTCCGGCCTCACCTGGAATAATCCTGTGTCCAATTCTGGGCAAAACAATTCAAAAAGAATATTGAGAAGCTGGAGTGCGTCCAAAGGAGGGCCACTAAAATGGTGAAGGGTCTGGAAACCATGAATCCCAGTTTGTGGGACCACTGACTGGGAACTGGGTATGTTTAGCCTGGAGAAGAGGCGGTTAAGAAGTGATATGATAGCCCTGTTTATGTATTGGAAGGGATGCCATATTGAGGAAGGAGCAAGCTTCACCGCCTAGATTGGTTTTCCACTAGGGCGGTATACAAATAAAATATATTATTATTATTATTATTATTGTTTTCTGCTGCTCCAGAGAATAGGAAACGGACAACAGATGCAAGCTAATAAGTAAGTATGTAAAAGAGTTTCCACCTCAACATTAGGAGGAACTTCCTGACAGTAAAGGTTGTTCGAAAGTGGAACACACTCCCTCAATGGAGATTTTGGTGGAATCTCCTTTGGAGGTCTTTAAACAGAGGCAGGATGGCCATCTGTCAAAGGGGGTGCTTTGATTTTGAGTTCCTGCATGGCAGAATGGGATTGGACTGGGTGGCCCTTGGGGTCTCTTCCAAGTATATGATTCTATGAAATAGAATCCTCCATATTCTTCTCCATTCCTTCTTCCTTACAGATTGGGCTGTGGAATCTGAGGAAAGATTTCCGCACTGAGGAAAGAGGATGTACTTTTATGCTTATAGAGTTACACACTGGTTATGCAAAACTGTCTTGCCAGTATATGGTGAGATGGTGTAGCCAAATGTGCATGTGCATTTCATAGAATCCTAGAATTTGGAAGAGACCCCCAAGGGCCATCTAGTCTAACCCCATCCTGCAATGCAAGAAGACACTGTCCAAGCCCTCCCTGTGACAGATGGCCTTCCAGCCTCTGCTTAAAGACCTCCAAAGAAGGAGACTCTAATACTCTCCAAGAGAGTGTGTTCCACAGTTGAACAACCCTTCTTACTGTCAGGACGTTCCTCCTAAAGTTGAGGTGGAATCTCTTTTCCTGCAGCTTGCATCCATTGAGGCTCCATTGTGTCCTATTCTCTGGAGCAGCAGAAAACAAGCTTGCTCCAACCTCAGTAAGGCAACCTCTGCACAGGCATTGAACAATATGCATGCAGAGCCATGAACAATAATGCCACATGCACAACTCTGCCTCCACAACCTTGAACGCAATACAGCCCTTTTGCAGAGGATAAAAAATGTCCAACATCTCCCACCAGGAACTTTTGTTGTTGTTGTGTGCCTTCAACTCACCTCCAACTTATGGTGACCATAAAGTGACTCTATCATGGGATTTTCTTGTCAAGATTTGTTCAAAGGGGGGTTGTCTGAGGCAGAGAGAGTGTGACTTGCCCAAGGTCACCCAGTGGGTTTCTATTAACATTTTTAACATTTATTGTTGTAAACCACCAAAATTGTTTTATTCTTATCAATTGTTTTAATTTTATGATGTTTAATACTATTTTAAGGGGTGGGTGGGTTTGGGTTTAGGAAGGTGTATTGTGAGATTTTATTGTTGTAAGCCACCCCAATTGCTTCGGTAGAGGGGCGGGATAGAAATAAATATTATTATTATTATTATTATTATTATTATTATTATTATTATTATTATATGGCTGAGCAGAGAATTAAACCCTGTTCTCCAGAGTTGTACTCCAACACTCAAACCGCTATCCCAGTGATTCCCAAACTTTGGTCTTCCAGATTTTGGGACTTATCTCCCAGAAGCCCCAGCCTCCTTGCACAACAGTCAGGAATTCTGGGACTTGAAGTCCAAAACACCTGGCTCTTATGGGGGAACTTCCATGGGCATAAAACTCCAGCAGGATTCCAGAATTTTATCCCCAGATGTGCATCTCCCATCAGTAGTCAGTGGTCCCACAAACCTCACCATGCTGCAAAGAAGCTCCTGGCTGGGCATCCATCAGACTTTGTGCCCTCAAGTCGATCTCAACTCATGGCAACCCTCTGGATGAGACCTCTCCAAGATGTCCCTCTGTCCTCCCTTGCTCTGCTTAATTCCTGCAGCCCCTTCATTAATCCCCATAGGGACCTCCTTAATAATAGAGTCCCTCTGTCTGACAGGTGGCCTTCCTCTTTTCCTATGTCCCTCACCTTCCCCATCATTATTGTCTTTTCCAAAGATTCCTCTCTTCTCATGATGTGTCCAAAGTACGACAGTCAGTCTTGTCTTCTTGGCTTCTAGGGATCTCTCTGGCTTGATCTGCTCTAGGACCCATTTCATTGTCCTTTTGGCTGTCCATGGGATCCTCAGCACTCTTCTCCAGAAACACATTCTCTCAAATGCATTGATTTTCCTGCTATCTTCTTTCTCGAATGTCATAGAATCATAGAATCATAGAGTTGGAAGAGACCACAAGAGCCATCCAGTCCAACCCCCTGCCATGCAGGAACTCCCAATCAAAGCATCCCTGACAGATGGCCATCCAGCCTCTGCTTAAAGACCTCCAGGGAAGGAGACTCCACTACTATCCGAGGAAGGAGTGTGTTCAGCTCTCACATCCATAATAGCCAGGAGCAGCTGGCAGGGTTGATGCCACATCTGGCAGCCTTCCTGAGTTGTGAGACCTGTTGGAATGAGAGTTTCCTAGGGGATTAGCCCTTTTGGGGAACCATATGAAAACTACAACTATTAGGGAGCAGCCGTCTTTGAATAAGGGACAGAGCAATAATGCATGCTTCGATCTCACATGGCTCCCCGGAACTGAAACTGACTCAGAATAAACAAGGTTTATAAACAGTTTCAGTTTACAGACTTGGAAAAGTTTACTAACGACTTTTGCATTTGCATCTTTGCAGGAAGACACTGTCCAAGCCGTCCCTGCGACAGATGGAAATCCAGCCTCTGTTTAAAGACCTCCAGACTCCACCACCCTCCGAGGCAGCAGAATATTCCATTGTTGAACAGCTCTGACCATCAAGAAGTTCTTCCTAATGTTGAGGTGGAACCTCTTTTCCTCTAGTTTGTAGAAGAGATTCCACCAAAACATTTGGAAGAGCTTCCTGACAGCAAAAGCTGTTCAACAAGTGAGTCTGCTGGGGAAGACAAGTGCCCATCATCCACCTGAGGCACCTTCCACAACTCAACCCAGAACTGAAGGAAGGGATGGGTTGGAGAAGGTGAAAATCCTGAGCCCGCCGCCTCTGCAAATTGCAGGTAGCTGCCATGAGGTCCTTTTACTGGGAAAGAAATTAATATGGTGTGAAATCAGCAGCAGATGATTTAAGAAAACCTAATTTCAAATCCCAATGCAAATAATCTTTTGATAAGGTCAAATGAAAGATTAAACGTCTCAAAGTAGTGAACCACTTGCCGTTTGGAGCACACTTTCCTTTCCTCCATACCTTCAGTAGATGTGGAGCCATTGGCCAGAGATGCTTCTGGGACGGTCCTGCTCTCTTCTCCCATTTAGGATGCTCTGTGGGATGAAGGCAGCTTTCAGCGCAGGACTTTGCAAAAGCGGTCCACCTCATCTCTGAGGTTCCTCTTCCCAGGGACTCTGGATAATACAGTTTGAGTTTGCGGAGACTTCCAGATGTAAATCTCTGCCTGGACCCAAAACCAGGTATCCCCTGGGATCCCTACAATTGTGTGGGTTTTGTGCTCGAGGAAAGGATCTCATGCAGGTTTTGAGGGAGCTCTTACAAACATTAGGGAAATGGTGTGGTCTAGTAGTGGAAACCATAAAGCCCTCTGAGGAGTGACTTAGGGAGCTGGGGATGTTTAGCCTGGAGAAGGGATGGTTAAGAGGGGATATGACAGCCCCATTGAAGTATTTGAAGGGGTGTCATATTAAAGATGGAGCTAGCTTGTTTTCTGCTGCTCCAGAGAATAGGACTCAATGGAGCAATGGATTCAAACTACATGAAAAACATTTAGGAGGAACATCCTG